CGTTGTTGTTGTTGTTGTTGTATGTGTGCTCAAGTTCTTTAGCAACTCATGTATGTCAAACGGGTCATTTAATTGAAATTAATTTTAATTGAGTTGGTTCGAAATGTGCGAAATAATATTACTTGCTATAGCGAGTTCTTTCTCACTCCCCCCCTCTCTCTCGCTCTCTCTTTCTCTGCCTATGTATTGAATTATTCTATATTTACAAATAATAACAAAAATATTTTATATATTTAATATAATCGCTTGTTCATTTAGTTTAACAATATAATGTTTTTCATATATAGTTGAATGAAAACTTTTACTTATTGCCTCTGGTCAATGTTTAGTTTTCCATATGAATGATTTTGTAGAATTAATATTAATGAGTGAAAGTACTTTAGCCGATGAAAATGCACCATTTAATAGTCCAGGCCGTTTGTATTGCAAAACCAATTAATTAGTAAAAAATTTCTATAAGAAATTTCTTTATTTCTCTCGCTAAAAGGGAATAAGACAAGTACATCTCTCTATATATATATATATTTCTCAATTCGTATGCAGCCAATTAGATAATTAATATAATGAAATGATTTTTGTTCAGATTTTTAATTATTTATAGCGAAATCAATACCAGGGAAAGTTCTAATCCAAAGGTTTTGTAATATAAAAATTGAACGTCAAGTACATATAGAGCGGCTCCAGCAGAAGAAACATGAACTAGGCAATGATTTGCTGAAACAGCTAGCAGTATTTATATGATTTGTCATCTTGTACTTAGGAGTGAAAGGACGTATAAAACTCTGAAAATTTATTCCAAAGCGGGCGAGCTCACGCTAAGCTCATGTTCTAGGCTGAATTAGTTGATAATGTAGTAAAGATGCAATATCCAAATCGAATGCAATATATGGCAGTGTGTCGTCAGAATGCGTACTGCAGAATGAGATCAATATTTCAAACAAATTGCTAGAGAAACTCCCGCCGAACTCATAGAAGTACAACCTTCAAATCTGGTTACTGTAATTTTTCAGATTATATAACACGCACCAAACGATAAGACGCACTTCAAATTTATAAGATGATTTTTAGCAAAAAAATATATATATAATATCGTACTAGCAGTATTCAGTTCATCTTCACTTACGGCACAATCACTCGTCTCGTTAATGTCACCGTTTATATTACTTTCATCTGAACTATTATTGTCACGCCTTTCAAACCCCAAATTTAGAAATGATTTATTGAAAAAATATTTGAATGTTACTATCGGACCATAGGACACATTCAAAATTTGATGAATCCATTTTTCTATATAAAAAGGTCCAGGTATAGTCCAAAAAATTGCGGTAATTCGACATTATTAAAAGCTATAATGCGCGCGCGTCTTGATTTCAGAAAGACCGTGAAGTTGCTATCTACTACTGCTATCTACTGTCAAATAAAATGATTTATTGGAGACTTGGATCTGCTACGAACCGCTATAAACTCAAAATTCAGTTTCTAAATAGCAGTTTCCTCGGCAACGACGACCAAGAACGGAAGTCAAGCGTATTAATTGCTACTGTACTCGAAAATAAACTTGAGTTCCTATATATTGTTTTTTCAGTTTTAAAGAAGGGGAAACTGTTTTTACGTCCACAACCGGCAGCTGAGGATATATTCATTTTGGCAAAACGTTTCCAATACATTCCATAAAGTTTATACATTCTCAACGACCTTCTCGACTGTGTAGTGCCAATGCCACAACATTTTCCTGGCCGTGAAAATTTGGCAAAAATATTCGAAACATCTTGCATGTGAATTGAAGTCGGTAAACGGTCTCTTCTATAGAGTAACATAAACTGAGAACATCCCTGCTATGGCTTTTTATCACATTATTTATCAACTTGAAACGTTACATACGTACCTGTATACCTGTATGGAATGACTGTTGAAACCACTCACTAATAATTATAGAACATGAAAACAAGGTTTGTTCTTTTTCACCTTTATTAAAATAAAACTCATTGATATAAAGGATTCAGTTACAGCCGAATGTAATTTTCTTAGTTTTTTTTAATTTTTATATCCATAAGAAAAAAAAAAAAAAAAAAAAACCAAAACAATTAAATCGTTTGATTCAACATGTGTTTGCCCAGCGTTTTGCAACCCACAGGAATATATAGTAATTACCCGATCTTGTAGATAGGTTACCTCTCAACGAATTGTTTAAATAAAGTAATCGGACGATTTTGTTAAAGTAATAACACATCTGTTGCAAAGCGATTGTATCACGCTTCTCAAAACTCTTTCTAGTTAAATTTTCTCTCATATATGTTACCTTCCGATCTTCTTCGCCTAACAATTAAGAAAGACAACTGATTAATTATATTTTTCAAATGCTTATAATACCTAAAGATATTCTTTAAAAACCTAGCAAGATATATATATTCTTGATCGGCCGTGATCCCGGAACAATCTTACACAATGGCCAAATTAATGTAAATACCACCGACCAGAATCACAAGAATTGAAGAATACATATTGCGACACTTTCGCAAGTTGGGGCATCCGTTTGCGGGAAATTTGAAAATTCGCAATCAACTTGCGGATAATCTTTGTGCTGACTTGTTCATTCCATGTCTTTGTCTATAACGAATTCCAGTCGATTCGTGCGTCGACATATTTTAACATTTTTTCTTTTTTTTTCAATTTTCGAATCACTTTTTTTATTAGCCCCGACGTAACATTAGTCCACGGGCGCGATTAGATTAAGAAGGCCAGTGTTATCCCATAGCCAGTCACAACTGTAGGATTCATTTTCGACATTATAATTTCCTTAATAATCGAACTTCCTTTTTCTGATGAGTTTAAACCTAGGAACCATTTATCTAAAATATGATTTTGTTCACAAAGACCGCTCAATTGTTTATGCCGTTCATGACTTGTTTGAATCGTACAAGATCAGCAACAAATATTACAAAAGCGGCGAAGATATTAATCACATTATCCTAAACGAAACTTGCCGCTAATAAAAAATACTCTACCATTGACTTTTAGTTGCATTTTTTCGAAATTATTGCAGTTTGCATTGTTTCGCATTGGTTATCGTATCATGTTCATTTTACACCGATCATGTCAAATTCTTCTCATTAAATAGAGAAAGTAACGCCTTCCGCAAGATTTCGTTTTTTATCGGAGACATAGGTTGACCTATTTCAAGCTTCATTTGTAGCGCAAATTAAATCATCAAAAATGTTTCTTTAAGTACAGCTCTCCTGTTTCGTTCATTGTGTTCCTTTTCTTTGCTTTGTACTTCATTTCACTCGCGTAAATGAATAAGTGAGAGGCCACGTGCGCGGTATGTTAAGCAGGTAGAAACAAAGGCAAAAAAAAAAAAAAAAAAAAAAAAATGCTGAAAAATGTCTACAAAATGAAATGAAGAAAAGCAAAAGAGTTATATTCGGCTGTGGTCGTATTTTTTATACCCACCAGCCAAGTTTTTTTATTTTTTTTTTTTCATTTTTATAAGATTCTCGTTGTATCTGCGTTACTTTAGGAGTAATAATTGAAAAAGCCAATTTTCTTTCTTTGCCTCTTCAGTTAACATTATACTGGATGCGTATATTTCGTTCGATATCAATGCGGACACAAGAATTTTTCAGTGTTGTTGAGAAATTTGCAGGCGGTATCTTCACTTTTACGATTAACAGATTATTCACTATATTATATATATTCAAATATATATTACCGATCGATTCAGATTTTGATACTGATCAAAAATTTGTATGCCTTATAAGGTCTCGGAAAACTATTTCTCTCTATTAAAACATTCGATCTAGTGATTATCTGAAAAATAAGCTTCCAATATGAAAGCAGTATGTGTGAGAAGTTCTCATGCGGCTAACTAACAATCATTTTAACACCAACTATTCTGAACAAAAGTTTTCATTTTCCAAGGTATACTAATATGTCGAAATTTATAATCTATCGATCGGAGGTGCATTAATCAATGTGCTAGATAAATTTTTAATGATCGCTTTAATTACCTTTGAAACAATGGGTAACAACGCTAATACACTAGAGATGACGGACGTAAAAATCAATAAAATTAAATATATTGAGGTAAGCATTTTTTTTTTTTTTTTTTTTTTTTTTTTGTTTTGTTTTGGATATATTTTAATCATATATATCTCAAAAACGGGAGGAAGAAACAAAAATGTATACATGCCTGAAAGAGAACCTTTTATATCCCATTACATGAGAGTGTTGTTTCTTTTTTTTTTTTTTTTTGCTTTTACCAATTGCAAATGCAAAGCACTCTATAGTATTCATTAACATCTGCAATAATAAATCGATCGATAATAGATCGATAGATCGATTTTGAAGTTCTAGTTTTCTTTTGGTTTTTGTGACGGACACATGTATACATGATAGCGAAGAAAAATTGGTTTATTTTAATTAGCCTCAAAAATTCATTGGTGAATATTACAATGGGCCTAACATAAAATAAATGGCCCATAAGTATTGGCCAGGAAGAAGTTAAACATAAATATTCTTATATTGAAGACAACTTTTAAATGTTTCGTATTTTTAAATGATTATTGTTTCCCAACTGGGACAAGACTACACTTTAGTTGATTATCATGTTATTTGCCGCATTTTTATTCAATGGCATAATATACTCGCGTACGTATATGCTTATGACACGCGTCTCCCAATTGCTACCTGCCATCACCACTACACCACTAATTGCAGCTTGAGCAGAGTTCTATTCTCGTACGTGTGAAATATTATTTCAAAAGCACTTGGAGTCAAATATCCAGGGAGGGCAAAAAAAAAAAAAAACAGGTCATTCATTCTTTTATCTTATAAGAACAAAACAAAGGAAAGGCATCTCAAATACGACAAAATGAAAATCAATTGTATGTGAAATGACTTTTCTGTAAGTGGCAATTCGGCAACCGATTTGTTGATTAGAGTAACGTGCATTAATTTTTCTTTTTTTTTTATTTAATTAATTATAAGAGCTTCAAACTTACACTTCCAAAATACGATCACCCTTTTTGATGCCCGCTTTTTCGGCGGCACCGTTCTCTAACACCGCACTAACATGCTGTAAAGGGGCGTATAATTCACCATTAATAGAACGCAACTGGCCGCCTTCAGATACTTGGCCACGCACATTGAAACCGAAACCCGTTTCTGTTTTGTAAATGGTTACAACGCGTGGCCCATTATTGGCCGACACCGCAGTATCACTACTCATTTATATGTGCGTTAGACACTCAGTTAGAAATAAATAAACACTTGTCACACGCACCTAAACTCGCACACACGCACACGGACGTTAAAGTACAGGTTTTTAGCACTTAATTGATCTGTTTTACTTTTGCTTTGTTTAACAAGTATTTTGTGACTTGGTTCTGCTATTTCGTTTTTTACCCTTTTTCTTTTGCCGAGTCGCTTTTTAACTTTTGCGTAACTTCTTCTACCGACTTTTTCAAATAATTAACACAAAAAACTAACTAACGACCACTTTGTTTGCAACTTCTTTTGTTACCTATGTGTGTAACCACTTTTTCCTCCTCACTTATTCGGTGTAATTTTATTTTTAAAATACTTTATTATCTTAAATTATGCTTTAATACCTTAACAATAATAATTATTCTTCACATTTTTTCTGCAAAAAAATTTAAAATATACTCCGATTTTTCTTTTATAAACCAACTTAAATCAATTTCTCTTAGTTGTTTTCCGTAATCCCTCGTTCGCAGAAATGCAATGTCCGCTGTCTATCTGCTTTCTGCTTTCAGGTCAATTTCAGCTGTTATATTTTTTTATTCTTTATTTTACGTGCAATTCCGCTAATTAATTATATTGAGAAGTGAAGTTAGCAAACGAGTAATCATTGTGTTTTAAGAAAGAATTGCTTAAGGTGGAGAAACCATTTGGATAACGATAAATGAAAAACCGCAAGAATTACTTACGACATAAATACAAACTGGGAGAAAAAAATTAATAACTTAATTTGAAAATAAAGGCGTAAGCGGCAAAATATAGAATTGACTTACCTATTGAAAACAATTAAACTTGTTTTTGTTTCTATTTATCAGATTATGTTACGTGCCCGCCATCATTCTAAGCTTTTAAAAAACCTATTTAAAACATAATGCACGGTCAACATTTTTAAAAGTTAATTTTTGTAGGTTAGATCGGTTGCTAGAAGAAATTTAACTACAATGGGTTACCAGATTATTATTATGAATTATATATAACTCTTAGCGATTTATTGAAAAAACAAATTTAGTTTCAATTTCACGTTTCTCAAATTCTATTTGTTAATATCGTAATTTTCTTAAGTTCCAATGATAACAACGCTTAAAAAAATAAATTCATCCATTCACAACGCTGAAATATGAAATCATTTTATTTATGATATAATTAGGCGCATTTACGAATTAAATAAATTACAATTCATCTTAATAGAAAAATATTTAAGCGTAGCTTAAAAGAAACTAAAATCGAATTTTTTATTATTTTTTATATATGATAAAATTACTTTTTATGAAAAAGCACTCAGATTAAAGTGATAAATTTTGTGTTGTCATCATTGTTTGGATTATGAAAAGAGACAATCAAAAAGAAAGTATTAAACCAGAATCGTATACGTCCAAAATGGCGTCGGAAGTCGCAGCGGATGAAATTCAATTTGTAAGTCGATTTTTACATATTATTTTAAAAATATATTTTAAAGATCACATGAAATGTATAAAAAGAAGTATCTGCTAAATGTAATTGCAAAAATCTTTATAAAAATTCACCATCATGACAAACTTGTGTTTATTTGTTTGAACTCTAATAAGCACCCAGAGTGCGGTGTACGCAAAGTAGAAATTGAAACAAGTGTTTTTGCCGTTTAACAAGATATTATTCATGTTTGTTTTTGTGATTCTAACTTCTAATCTCAACAATCTTATGGGATATTTCTAAAGTGATTATGCTTAGATAGATTGGTACATATCAGTTAGCCGAAATTCCAACACATTCGTACAAAAAAACAAAACGTTCCGTAATGTAGTCAAAAATACTAAAGCATACGTGCAAAATAATGTTGTATTCAAATGCATTTTATTATTGTGTGTACGCATGTAAAAGTGAAGATTCTAATGATTATACCTTTTTTTAAGTGTTTGTTACTGTATAATCTCAACTGTGTACGTGAACGGCAACGGCAATAGTCAGTAAATGTTGAATATAGTACAAAAAATATGATGAGATACCGCCGTTGAATATTTATGTATAGATATATTTATATATATATACGTTAATACATGTGCTTACATTTATATATAGTTGATTGGCAAGTGGTTTTTTTTTCTTCTTTGCAAATATGTGTTGTTCAATGTGTACATGGCAATTGCATTTATTGCTGAACACATCCTCCCGCTTAAGTGTTGTTTGTAAGTGCTCGTAAACTAAAACAATGGTAATGCTAAAAGAAGAATAGTCCGCGTCTGTCTACCCTGACACGATCTTCTTCTTTCTATGCGAAACAAAGTTGGTGGAACTATTGTATTTTTTTTTTTTTTTTTATTTTTCTTGGTTCGTAGAGTAGATGCTCCTACAATTACTTCCGCTGTAGGCTAACCAGAAGAACATAAATAAAGCAATGAAATATATTCTCTAGCATCAAATGCCATCAAAACACCCGCATACATATGTAAACAGTTCTTATATGAATTTTAATGATTTCTTAGGACCGAGTGCATATTTTCAATTTACTTTTTTTGCCAGCACATCCTTGCATGCCCCGTAATTGTACTTTACCGTTGTTGTTTGTTTTGTATATTTGTGTGCATTATTTATCGCGTTGTTTTTGTTGTCAAGTGCTGTTGTTGTTTTGCTTATGACGAAGTAATAAAAAAAGTTGAATTTATTTATTAAATTTTAAAATTTAGTAAAAATAAAAAACACTTTAAGACACATTTCCTTTCCTTACTATTACATGAATTGAAGAGATAACTAATGAAGGTGTAATGAAATTAAATTATGCACGCCGTGCATACGTAACCTCCGATACAGCACATGATGTTAAAATATCCGATTCAGTTAGTTACTTAAGTTGGAGTTATGGCAAATAGTGCAAATTACTTTGGTGCGATCATCAACTAATCTCGAACGCCAACACTTGAGGTCAAGTACCTGGCCAGGACGACACATCTTACACGCGACTGCTTGACTGTCTTCATGAAGAGTTTTGTCCTGCCAGCTACACTGGCTTTTCAGTTGAATTATTAATTGATACAATTGTACGTAACAATCTGGCTTATGTCTGGTATTCCAATGCCTTCTACTTATGCTATTCGTTACGAACGGTTTTAATATTCTTCAAGTTTGAAATGGACGACATGATATGCTAAGCATACTTGCTGGTGGAAAACGTTAAGTTCTTGCTAACTTTTTTTTTGTTATATCCATTGTTATTGCTAATGAGGAACGCCCATGGAGCTCTTGTGTGTATGTACTTCCCATTTTGCTTCCATAATTATTTGATTGTTTCCGGTGTGTATGTTTTTGCATATTTATATATAAATATAAAAACTTTTGTGCGCGTATGTGTGCGATGTGAAAATAATCCTGTTTTAAAGTAACAAAAAAGTTATATATAATTAATATGAAATTTATAGTAGCAACCAATCGAAGGTGTAAGGAAGAAATATTATGAAAAACAGGTTTACTTGGACAGGAAGTTGTCAAGGTTTATCAAAACGATTTTTTGCAACACAATTATGAAAATAATTTTCGATTTATAATAAACATCTTTTAACTTGCGTGCATTTATCTCAATGTATTCGAAAACTTGGAGACTTTTATTTCAATCCAATTAATATTTGTTCTCCTGTTTTTCAAAAATTTTTCACAATAAATTTCAAATCAACTTTGAACACCGATTATAACGAATAATTTTTTATTATTGCCATAGACGATTCTAAAAAATGTTAAAATGTTTTATTATTATTGGAAAGAAATAAATATTTAAATTTTTGTATCCTTTTCGGCGGTAATCAAGCCCACGTCAAGATTTCGGTTTCTCAATTACAAATGATCATTTGATCGTTTGTTATTAAAAGAATGTGATTAGCAATTTGCACGAAGCGATACAAGATGACAGGGCTAACCAATTGGCGCAAGAGAATAGATATGTTGTACGATCCATTTTTAGTATTCGACAATTTTATTTATATACCCGAGCCGAGTACGCGAGCATTATGTTTAAAAAAAAAAAAAAAAAAAAAAAAATTGTAAGGAAATTCTATTGGTTTGTGACCGAATCTTTTATGCCCGTCCTATATGCCATAACACTGGATGGCCGTGGCTAATTTTTGATATTCTTGTGAAATAATTTTGTAGATAGTTACATCTTATATTTGTTGTTGTAGTGTATGAACAATAAACAAGAGACGCGGATAGCAAAGGTGCTTTCAGCCACCAGTATTGCCCTGAATAAAGGTCATCGTAAAGCGAAACTTTTTTCATATCTGCTAAACTAATAAATATGCATATGTGCCGTAGTATGGTGCTTACAGGAATGTGGTAAACGAAAAAAAAGTTAAAATTTTATTTTATATTTCAAGAGACGTTTAAACACTATTCGACTTTTCGAAAGTCACTCATTGGTGTCGTTGCATCCCTGTTTCAGAATCTGTTACGTAGCTCATAAATTTCTTGCGGTCTTTCGCTATGAAATAATTTTATTTACCATAAGGAATGAATTTTATGAAATTTAAATATATTTGGAATTTTGTTCAATAATAAGTTGTCACTTTTCAGGCATATATGAATTTAGACGGACATCCGAATTGAAAGTATTGCCGGATAAAGAATTTTGCAAGAAGCGAAAGAGATGATAATCTGATCGTCCAATGTGAGGACAATATGCTGACTGCGGTAATACACCCCATCCAAGTTCTAACAATTCTTGCCATGGCGTAATGAAAAACAATCGATGCTCACAAACCGTTATGTGTCGATCAGCTTCAATCATAACCTTTAGCTGATAGTCAGCTGTGGTATTTGGGTTACCAGAATGCGATAAAGCTTTCACTGAAAACTTTCCACGCTATGAAATTTGCCAAATTTGTTCTGTTCTCTATGTACTTCGGCAGCTCCTTTACCTTTTTTGAAATCAAAAAGTAAAATATATATTATGTGCACCCTTTGATCTTTCGCTTTAAAAATGACCCGCATTACTATGACACGACCGATCGCTTTGAATATTTTATAGAAAATAAATAGAACTATATATACCTTTAACTCTAATTATCTATGTAGCTAACTGGAGAAAGTTACTTTAATCTGTTGTCGGGAAAAACTGCAAGAAATTTTCGGGCTATCTAATAGAAAAAAAATTCGCGTTTATCGTTACACCTGAATGTACTGATCGACGAGAGTATTGCGGCTCCGTAAAAATGTGGGAAAATTGTTTAAGGAATTGATAACATCTGAGACAAAGAATTGAATTTCTCGTCTTATAGCGTTAACGAGATGCGAGAAAAATCTGAAATATGATTTTCTGAATGAATTAAGTCGATCCGAAACTAAATATTCTAAAGAATATCTAGATAGACCTGCTTATAGGCGTGCAGTGCATTTATTATAAACTTATTTACTAC